TTTCTATCTGGGTAGATTTGCCTATTCTGGACATAAATGTTCCAAGCAGACTTTAAACATGGTGTTGAGTTCTGAGTTTGGAATTGCTGTTATATGAGCTTACCTGTAAGACAGAAAACCTTGAGCAAAACACTTGCTTTTTCTCTTCTGTTTCCTATCCCTGACAAAAGTATAAGGATACTGAAAACAGAGTCTGGACTTCTTTAATGTTTGTTAAGCCTTCTGAAAATTTCAGATACTGGGAACAAAGTGGGATAGTGGGTTAGAACAGGCAGTGAGTGACCATCAATATCCTTCTGCACATTTCTCAGTCCTACTTCGTACCGTTGTTTCTCCTGACCTCTAACATCGAAGAAACTCTTTATTGTCAAAGCTGATGTACTCTTAATTGAGTTAATGAGTACCAGTGGAACGCTACACTGTTCAAAACCCCTTCTTTAAAACCAATAATTTAAATCTCTCCCCCACCCTTAGCTTTTATTCAGAATTCCAGTTCTGAACAAGTAACAACTTTCTGTCTGTTTCCTCTCTTTCCTTCTTGTACTCAGTTTCTAGTAGTGTGCAAATAAATAGTGAGCCAAAATTCTGGTGGAAAATGGGGGAAGTATATGTGTAAGTTTATAATTAGGTTCTCTTATAGATATAAGACCTCAGACTCTAGACTAAATCAGGGTTGGATTTGAATCCTGCACCTCTTACTTTCTAACCTTGAGTAATTCACTTCTATGCCTCAGCAGCTCCAACAGTGAACCATAAGGTAAACTGCAGACTTTGGATAATGATGACGTGTCAGTGCAGGTTAATCGATTATAATAATGTACCTCTCTGGGGACAATGGGGATGTTGACTGTGAGTATGTGGGAGCAGGGGGTAGATGGGAAATCTCTGTATATCCCTCTTAATTTTTTTATTTTATTGTTTTTAAAGATTTATTTATTTATTTATATAAGCACTGGGTACAGTCAGAAGTGTGGGAGGGTGAGAGAATTCACCAGAGCCAGAGCGGGGAGCAGAACAGGCAGACTGATGAAGTACACTGCTGAGGGGATCTTAATTTTTTTAATAAACCTAATACTTCTCAAAAAAAGGGGAATAATGATAATACTACTTTGTGGGTTTGCTCTGGGAATTAATGTGTTAGAGCAGTGAAAGTACTCAGCACACTGCCTGATACAGAGCAAGAGCTCAACCTTGCTTTCTGTGGCTATAACTTGTAATATGGCGGCCAACTAGCATGAGGGAAGCTCACTGGCCTTTTATAGAGGTCAGAAAAACCATGGGTTTAAATAGTAATAGCATAACTGGTAAAGCACTTAACAACCTGTGCACCATCTCCTTTAAAGGCTAAAAGGCTTACCCCATTCCACTCCACCACAGTTATGAGTATGTGCTTATTATCCACAGCGGAGGTTGGACGTTATCCCAGCAATGATGTGCATAGATCCCAAAGAGGAGGAGGGTTAGGGGACTTTCCATCTTGGTGAAAGAGGAGCTAGGACTGAGGAGGTCACTGGGCCCAAAGCTGTCTCATTCCTTACTGTCTACAGAAGAATTCTGCAGGAGACTGGACGGGGTAATGACCGAAAGGGCAGCCTCACAGGCCAGGCTGAAGCCTGCTGTCATTTCTCACTTCATTATGTGATGAGCTAGTGATATACCACTTCACTGAACTGTGACAAGGATCAAATGAGCTCATATATGCAAGGAGGTGCCAAGTGGTACAGAGGAAGCAATAACTATTAGCTCAGGATTCCTGCCCTCCAGTAAATGTCAGCCACAGTATGAGAAAATCAACCCATTTCTTTACTAGACATCTCCACCTAAAATCCCCAGAGGCACTTAAAACTCAACGTGTTCAAAGCTGCATTCATCATTTCTCCCCAGAACCTCGCCTTTGTGCCGTATTCTGGGTTTCATGAATGACACCCATCAACCAGGCAGTCAGTCCAGACTCTCTCCCTACTTTTCTCCACAGACTACAGCTATTCAGTTTAACTCTTGAGAATTTCACTAGTCTCTCTCATCTCCCCATCCTACTATTGTTGCCTCAACTCAGGCCCTTTTTATCTCTTGCCTGGTCTATGCAGTTGTCTCCTGACCTTGTAGACACCAAGCTCAATCTGGCTTCTGTCCTCAGTCAGCTCTCCACAAGGCTGCCATGGAGACCTTTCTGAAACATAAACCTGATAGTCTTTCTCCACCTAAAAACCTAACCCTGACTCCCTACCACTTACTCGGAAAAGTCCAGATTCCACAGTATGGCACAGGAGCTCCTTCAGGATCTGGCCCTAACTTTCTCCCTTCCTCCCCTCACATCCTTCACCCCAGCCCATCCAAGGCCGAGATGGTTCCCAGAGTGCTGGTGAGCTGAGCTTCCATGTCTTTGCTTCACCACCCTGTCTGCCAGGGGTTCTTGTCACCTAGGCCCTACTCATCTGTCCAAATTTCTCTCAAGAATCCCTTGTCTTTGACACCACTCCTGGCCACCTCTTCCCCTCAGCTAGAATAGACCATTTTCTGTTCTCACCACAAGTATCTCATTCCTACTCTAGCACAGATAATAACTTCTAAGCCTTTTGACATGACTTATTTCCCTACTGGGTAATAAGCCAATCATCACAGATCAAGGTTGACTCATCCCTCTAGCTGTAGCCCTGGCCAGGGCCACTGCCCCTAGTTCATGCTGGTGGACACCTGTCCACTTGGGTGCAAGAACTGTGAGAGCCGCACATTTGTAACATTTCTTGAGCATTCACTGTCAAAGTGTGTTTACGTATATGATTTCATTTAACCTACAACAACACATGAATGAGGTACTACAATTATTGCCGTTTTTGGCAGGACAGAGAGGAGTTAAATAACCCACTGTGAAGGTTACTTAATATCAGAGATGTGAAGTAACAGAGCATGGTGGACTACTCTCTGGTGCCTCCACTCCTAGTAAGTCAAACCCCTGAGCGCAAAGGAAATATTTACAGTTTTTCATAAAGATTCATTTATAGGAAATGGACCTTATAGGAACTCAAAATGTTTAGCCCTAGAGACTGAAGAGGCTCCCGATTGGGAAGTTTGTAAAGACAATAGAAGTGTGTGGTTTGCAAGTGGTTTTTGAAAGGTATTTTGGGCTTAAAGTGACATAACCAGGTCACTGAAAATTATTTACAATTTATTACTCTCAAGTAATAAATTTTTCATGTTTTCAAGTTTCAGGAAAAGCCAGCAGAGCTGTTCCAGGGTCCGTATTAAATCTTCTGCCTAATTTACCCCCCCAAACTTATTTCTGGCCTTGTGCAATCCTGATATAAAAAAAGGGCATTGTGTCATGATTTATTATACAAGTCAAACCTGCCTTATCGTTGCTTCCCTCCGTTTCTAAAACATTAGAGCCAGCCTGGTGCAAATGCTACAAATAATGGGTGTGAACACCCTCTTGTAGTCTGCCTTGAGAACTCAAGGCACAGTCCATGTACACCTTCAGGGAAAGTCAATTGTTCCTCTGGAATTTGAGGTGAATTTTTTCCTCCACACTGAGCCAGAAACTTATTCAAAGTTATGTTTGTAATCTGCTTATCTCTGCTCGCTTCACCATGCTCTCATCTCATAGACTGGAATTCTAAGTCCACTAAGCCATGTAGGCGCTTGAAGGGCTTCTGAAATGCAATCCTTGCACCAATAAAATCTGCTGTCACTGTGCTTTCATTTCAGATGGCTCCCTGGAGAAGTTGAAGTTGTTATTTCCTTTTTAACTTAGTAAAGTTAGACATTATACTTAATACTTTATCAATATACTTAAAAAACGTATGGCATAAAAGACTCTTGAATCAGATGGGTGTCTCAAAGTCACTCTGCTCCACTGCCCCCTCACCCCAAAGTGTTTTTGTTAAACAGTTTGACTACTAGAAAATTTCCTGGACCAGAAAAATTCTTTATTAGTATCAATATTCTGAATTAAATTTTGCCTATTGATTCTAACTTTGTAACAAAGAGTGGAAAGAAGGAAATTAGCATTTGTATGCATTTGTGAGGTGCTGGGCACTTTGCTGGCCAATTAAGCCTACATCATTCAGTCCACACCATAAATTTCAAGGCATGTGATACAATCTTCATCTGAGCAAGAAGAAATTGAGACTCACCAGGGCCACATCCCTTGCCTAAGGTTGGGGTTGAAACTCAGAGCTATCACATTCCAAAGTCTATCCTTGCCCCAGGCCCCACCACAGATTGGTCTCTACAAATCCAGGTTCATTTGTTTTAGACAAGGAAGTTGTGCTGCAGTCAACTCTACCACTCTGGTCTTGGAGAAATTTTCCACGCTGTTCCTTCCACAGATAGGGTCCTCACATTAACTTTGCAGCCTTAGAATAACCCAGTAGTGGAGTGAGGAGCCATGCGAGGACACATAATAGCATTTTCTGCCCAGAGTCCCTTCTACTCAACCGAAACCTCTGGCAAGTTCCAGCTGAGGCAAAGAAAATTAGGTGGAGGGAAAGTGAGGCCCTCACCCAAACAGCTGGAATTGAGTAGAAAGTGTTCAGGGCATAGAAACAATGTGGGTAAACTCTTTGGAGAAGTCAGAAGTGGAGGAGATTCCACTCTGCCTAGAGGTGAAGACAGATTTGGGAACGTTTCAGGGAGGAAATAGCATTAAGCAGAACCTTGGCCTTGAAGGATGGGGGAACATTCATTTCAAGCAAAAAGGAAACTATGAACAAAGACACAGGCAGGAAAGTGAGGACATTGGTGGGAAATAGGGTATTAATAGTGCTGTATTATCAACGATCTTGTACTTCATAACAGCACTGTGGCTTGGGTATCTGGTGTAAGACAGAAGGCAGTCCCTTACCAAGTATATTACAGTCTTCTATTGCTGGAGGAACAATTTCTGAAATGGTAGGGCACATCTGGAAATACTCCCTTTTGAATGATACTATATACTTGCATAGAAGCAGTCATGTCAACAAACGTTGATTTTAAGATCCTGTTTCATTTTGCCTCTGCAGAAGGAAACTCCACTTGCCAACGCCGCATTCTGGGCAGCAAGGAGAGGAAACCTGGCGCTGCTCAGGCTGTTGCTGAACAGTGGTCGGGTGGATGTGGACTGCAGGGACAGTGTATGGACGGATTCAGTCTGTATATGCATGCCAAGAGCACGCTATTTCCCCCATTGGCATGAGAACACCCCAGGAATACATTTCCCTTTACAATGCTTATTTCCTTTTTCATGAGTTGGCTTGCTTTATCCCTTTCAAAAAGTCCACAGTACCCTGGTGAACTTGGATACCTATCAGGAAAACAAAATCACATGCATCAAACAAAAGGAGGCCACTAAAGAGAAAGAGGCACTTCATTGGGCATCCGAATTGGCAAATTCCAAGGAGAGAGGGGTGTTGAGTCAAAAAATTCAAACCAACTGCTTTTGTGAAAAGGTAGAGATAATATAGAGCAGAACTGGGCTGCTGTGGGCTCAGAGTGAGGATGAGAGAACTGAGAAATGGAAGCTTCCACCCAGCCTCTTAGCCTTCATTACTTTTGCAAATATCAATATACTAATTGGCAATGAAGGGGAAATTCAAATAGATACTAGGTTCACTGGCAGGCATCCTAGAGAGCATTCCCTTTCCGCTGAGGCAGGGATTTCCTGTGGGATGTCCCTGCATCTCTGAGAACAAAGAGGACCTAGGAAGAGAGAAAAGGCAGGAGAGGGAGGGGCCATTCTGGTTTTCAGATTTAAATAAAATGTGTTCAAAGGAGCCTTATTGTTTTCCTGAAAACAGGTGAGCCATTTCCAGCTTTTGCACACGTTTGGTGAGATCAGCCAGAAGGCAGAGAGATGGCAGTTGCCCACTGGATTTCTTCAGTTCACACCTCCAGATCCACTCTACCCTGTTGCTTGCTCTGGGTCACAGAGTCTGAACTGAAGGGCCTGCCCCCAGTGGACTCCCTTCCCTCTGGCTTCCAGAGGTTTCTCCCGTGGGAATGTTGGCAGGAATCCCATGTGAGGCAGGGACATTGGGGAGCCCAGTGGCCTCCCCCCTCACTCTTCATCCCAGGAGCCACTACCTCCCCTCCCTGTGCCTTCAAGCCTGGTCGAGCTGTGGAGCCCCACTGCTCTAGCTCCCAGTCCTACACTGTCCTTTGTTATTACACTGCAGCCGCAGCACAGCTTTATACGTAATCTCTTTAGTAAACTCTTCCAGTTATCCTAATGTGAATGTACCATCTGTTCCTTGGCAGGACCCAGATGGAGTCTCGGGCATGTGTGAACTAGTCATCCTGGTCTTACTTGGATGCTAGTGGTCTCCCCGTGCACACTGGAGTAGGGTGACCAGTTGTCGTTGTGGCCACTGGATGACCACTTTGCCCCTTTGTCTTGAAGTCCCCCTTTGCAGACTCCCTTATGACCTCTGCCTGGCTTCCAGCTTCCCAGGGCCACCTCACATGCTACACACATCCTGCATCCCAGATAGCACTCCCCACACTCTGCCTTCTTGGTGCCCCTCCCCCATCTGAAGTCTCCTGTCCTGCTCTCTCCTATCCCTTCAGTACTCACACACTGTCTCTCTGCTGCATGACCAGCAGCTGCCTGGGTTTAAAATTTGCTTATATCAACAGATATTGATACATTTCTAGAAGGTTTCTCATTTATAACAAAAAGTCATTTTCTCAGGATCTTTCTGGACACATGATTGCTCAACCCAAAGAAGCAAGTCTACACTTCAGACACCTTGTTGATTTTGAAAGGGCATCTAAGATTGGTAGTAACTGTGAGGCAGGGAGACATCTGGGAACAGCACATGGGCCTTTGTTCTCCCTTCAAAATTTCTCCGTGTGGGGCTTGAGGGATGGGGTCTGCCTCCTCCACATGCCACCTAAACATGGAGTCTAGTTCCAGGCTGGGTTCTGCGTGTAGAAAATGTTTCTAGACTACAACTCCTATGAGATCTGGTAGGATGTGAGAGAGGCCCCAGGGGCTTTTCTGTGGCCACAGTCAAACATTTCCAAGAAATATCATTCTAAAGCACAAGTGCATTATCTATCAGCCACCCACTGCATGGTAAAGCTTTGATTTGTGGACATCCATTCATCTTCCACTCCTGGCTTAATGCTGTCTTTATATGATGTAAATAAACATTTTTCTGCTTTGCTCCTCAACTCTGACACACATTTGCTACAAAGATGTACAACAGCAAGATTCTCTTAGTCTTGCTAGATGTGATAATATGTGTGTTGGACTGCCTTGCTTGTTGTGGTCCTTACTGCCTTTATAGCCATTATATCCTTTGTTCAAAATCAGCTAATTTTATTTTATTTCAAGATTTATTTATTTACGCATACAAGAACTGGGTGGAGGCCAGAGGTGCAGGGGGGTGAGAGGATTCACCAGAGACAGAGTGGGTGGGGGGAGGGAACAGGCAGACTGACTGAAATACACTGCTGAGAGGAGGAGTGGCTGAGATAGGAGCGGTCTGCTGTGCCATATGGGTCAGCTCCCTAGCCGGGGATCGAACTCGTGCTACAGAGGCTATGGATAGCTTCATAGTGCTGTGCTTAACCCCTTGCACCACCAGGGAGGCCCCTCAGCTAATTTTAAAGAAACTAATATCAGGAATGAAATGAAACCATTTTAATCTTTAGAGAATGAAAATCAGCCAAGCTAACAGTTTTTAAATAAAAGAATTACCTTCGTGTAGCTTAATATGTAAACAGATACCACATCTTTATTCTGTCTCCTTTGTCCCAACCTCTGAATTTTTTCTTGCTTGACCATGATATGGAATTGAAAAACAACCTATAAAGAATTATTTTTGTTATTTGTTTTATTCATTTTTCCTTTAAAATAGATGAGCCCAACACTTTGTATTTTCTTTTTAAATATCCAAATTAGGTGTGCTGCGCTTCCTCTGATTTGTGATTGATTTGTACTTTGAGACCAGTATGACCCATGAGAAAAAAATGTTCTCACCTCTCACATAAAGGATACATTCATCACTTCCTAATCAAATTGGCTTTAAGTCAAAAATTTTTCTATCTGCAATCTAAATAAAACTTCTCATGTACAAGAGGAAGTAATACCAAGTTTACCCCTCCAATCTTAGAAAATACAATAGAAGGAGTTCAACTGAATAACAGAGTACAGCCCAGAGGAATATCTCCATTCAACACAAACTATGATCACATGGGGTAGAAAAAATATAGAGCAGTAACATGAAGCCATTAGCTTTATTTGACTCCACTGCATTCTTTATATATAACAAGCAAGACTTTGCACTGTTATTCACAGAAATCAACAAAAGTTGGATGATAAACTAACATTTACTGAACTATTGTAACATTATTTTAATACCCACGCTTACTGAATTAATCTGACATGACTAAGTACATTGCCTGAACTCACGTTTCATTTAATTTAATAAGGCAGGTATGTTTATTCTCCATATTACAGTCTTTGAAAGGTTAGATAACCAGCCCCGGATCATACTATCAATGACCACTCAACTATGCTGATTTCTTAACAAAATCCCCCAAGAACAATGCTTCTAGAAGCCGCTTATCCCCCCAGTACCTAGTGAACATTCCTTAGGTGCAGAGCTGTCTGTTTCTTCCTTGTCACCCACTCCTGACAGGCTAGTCACTAAATATGCAGGGAGTGGTTAAGGTTGCAATCTTAAGCCATTGAGAACAACTGTAAATTAAACTACAAAAGTCTACCTGGACATACTAGATGGTGTGCCTCAAGTCCTTGAATCTTAAAATTGGAGGGATTTTGGTAATCATCCCATTCACCCCTTTTAACTTTTTTTATCTTTTTATTTTATATGATTGTATTTATTTATTTTTTTATTCTTACAATGTTTGTTTTCTTTTCTCAAGAAGATGTGGTATATATACACAATGGAATACTATTCAACAATCACAAAAGATAGACTAACACCCCTTTTTAAAGAGATAACTGAGCCCCAGGAATTATAAGCAACTTCCCCTAGGTGACACTGTTGGTTGATGGCAGAGGTGAACTTGGACCACTAGTCAGACGGGGCACCTAACTTTTACTTCTATTATCTCTCATTTCATTGAGACTTCAAGACTGAGAAAGCCATTTGGTGCCATTTAACTCTTTTTTGCCTTAATAATAGTATTTTGGTTCAAGAATCATTTAACTGAGTCATAAAATGTGATCATTACATCACTGTTGCCTTAAAATGCAGTAATCCTGGTTCACTTGGACTGCCTTTCTGAAGGTAATGGAGGTAAGTGAATTTTTAAATTGAAATTTTCAACCTCTGCAATTTGTCAATTTGCTTTTCCTAGCTAGTTTGTATTGTATTTCATGAGATATTTTTATTACTGCTGGATGTTTTGCATTTGACCTGGTAATGGCCTAACTGTTTACCTGTCTCTCCTCCATCCAGAATGGCACCACACTCCTCATGGTAGCCTCCTATGCTGGTCACATAGACTGTGTGAGGGAACTCGTTCTGCAAGGAGCAGACATAAATCTCCAGAGAGAGGTAGGTCAGGTTTTACACATAAATCAGAATGATCTGGGTGACAGGGACTCCAAGTTTTCACAATAGCGATTTGGTAAGAAAGACAATAGTAATCATTGCTTTTTCCCTACATAACATTAAAACCCAGATTGAAGACTTTATTATGCCTAACATAAGCCCCAGGAATAACCACTGATTGTATTTCCATTGAGCATTTCTCATTAGGCAAAGGCTGGGGTAACAAATTCCTAACCACATTCCCTGAACACTCATAAATGTCATCCCAAGCTTACATCAGTCTCTTCCTTCTTCCCTTGGGCTGAGATGCTGTTAAAAAACAAACAAACAAAAAACCACAGGGTTTGTGCTTTTAGAAGCGTTAGGTAACTAACCTGTTCTTAATAAAGCTAACTCACTAGGCTATCTCCACCATCCTTGCCAAACCATGTTTTCAAAGGACTCGTGTATTAAATGAACTGCCCCCACAAAAGCCATGTGGTGAGTATTAAAATGTGAGCCTGTTCCCACTCTTCATTCAAGGGCAATCTTGGGAGTTCAGTCTGGACAGATGATCCATCTTTGGTTCAATGTAGAGGAGCAGTGGGGGATGAGGGCATTTTAACATACTTTGGGATTAAGGTCTCTGGAGGCTAAGTACATTTCTGAGCTGCCTCAGGGCCTGGTAAATTAAACTGGATGGAGACACAGGTCAGCCCTAGAGTGAATCTCACCTGTCAATTCACACTGACTCAGTCCTGAGATGGACATCCTAGGGCAACTCCAAACCAGACAGGAGTGCTTGATTTTCTGCATAAGAGCGTGTAGAACCTGATCTGCAACTGTTTCAGAAAGGACCATTTGTTAACCAAATATTCATTAAGCAATACACCCCATCTTCCTGGCCAGATGACCACCTCTGAGCAGAGCAAAATAAAACTCAAGAGGTATCAGGACATGGTCACAAGTTCTAAGGGAAATCTAGAAGTCCCTCCCATCTCCCTTTCTGGGTGTCCCCCATATCACAGGTCATGAAAGAGTGACACGACAGATAGAATCTGGAGTCTGGTTCTGCATAGCACTGGGTTGGCAGCATGGCCTGTTAAGAGGAGCAGTACAGAGACTATAGCAAATCTGATCTGTCTTCTCACAGATAGATTCTTCTGAGCTATTTCCAAAACACTGGATAATTGTTTTAGGTCATTTTCACTTCAGCGACTAATTTTCTTCTGGGTGGAAAATATTTAGACCCATTTAGAATTATAGTCTAAAATTACCCTAATAGTTTAATTTTCCTCTCTGCTTTAGTCTTTGTTTATTTTAACTTTAAAGACAAGACAGATTTTCTCTAATAAAAACAATATGATCCAAATCTGTTTACTTAAAAAACTTGATTCTGAAGGCCAAATTCAATATACACAAGAATCTCTTCAAAACAACTAAGAAAGGCTGGGAGAAGAGAGATGTTTGGTTTCCAACCACTGTGTGGTTTTATAGTTTTATTTTTTTATGTTTGGTTCCAAATTGTTTAGCTAATATTCTCGGAGATGAAAACTATTATACATTGAACACAGAAGCCCTTGAGGACTTACCAAAGTGTGCCAAGGCTTGAGGCAACCTGTGTGTCTCAAATGATGTTATTATATGAGTTGCTATTGGTCCCCTGAATTTCCTGAGACCTTGCTAGTCTCAGGTGCTAGTGCGGCTAAAACAAAGACAGACTCCAACCTCATCTCCAGTGTTCTGGAAGTTGGGCATGTCTAATAGTGCTGTACAACTTACTCTTATACCAGACTTCTATCTTGGTTCATTTGTAATCAATTTTAAGATACCAAAATACAGGTCTTCCTCTACTTATAATAGGGTTACATCCCAGTAAACCCATCATAAGCTGAAAACATCATAAGTCAAAAAAGCCTAACTTACCATATATCCTAACTTAGTCTAGCCAGTCTTAACTGTACTTGGAACACTTTTATTAGCCAGCAATTGGGTAAAATCATCTAACGCAAAACCTATTTTATAATCAAGTGTTGAGTACTTCATTCATGTAATTTAGTGAGTATGAAAAAACAGAATGCCCACATTCCAAATTCAAAGTATGATTTATACTGAATGCATATCATTTTTGCACCATCATAAAATTGAAAGATCATCAAAAATCAAACTATTATAAGTCAGGGACTAGTCTGTACTTGTTTCCTGAAAAAGTACCTACCATTGTTTTTTGGGAGGTTGGACAACTAGACACGCAGGACTTGCTAGAGAGACAAACTGGAAGCTGATGGTCCTAAACCCCAGCAATATCGGCTAGTAAAACTCATGGGTAGAGGAGCTGGGTGTGCATATGAAGCTCTGGGCTTTGGTACTACTGCACACACACTTAAGGCCTTTATTCACATCCTAGACTGAAGTCTAACCCATATTGTCTACAGAATGCTGCATTAATGTGAGCATTGATTAATTGTACACATGTTCCAAAATTAGTTCATTATTGTAAACATGATTTTTGTAACTAGCATATCAAAAAATCTTAAATTTTAATGTCTAATAAGAAGGTGAGAGTTTTCCTATCCTAGCCAAGTTTCTTCATTCAAATCTGGTTACATATTAAGGTTTCTGGAACTCAGCATCCTCTGTACGAAAGAAATGAGAGGATGCTTCCCACTCATTTCTCTGGCAACCAAGGAGAAATTCACTCCTGCAATGCACAGCATGTCTTTGAATGGACATAGACTCTATGAATGGACCTGTGCTTCCTAGGCTAGAATGGTTGGGAAAAAAGCCTGAGATAGAAGGTCATATCTGGGAAGGTATTAGCATGCATTCTGCCCAAGGGTAAACCTCGTTGCTCATGTCTCTCTCTCACGCTCTCTTTCTCTCTCTCTCTTTCTCTCTCTCTCTCTCTCTCACTCACACACACACACACACACACACACACACCCTTATAAACAAGCCTTAGAGTGATCAGTAATCCTTTGGACACACTCTTTATAGCTAAGTTTTCCAAATATCTTGTCAATTCTCTGAACAAAAATTACAACCAGTTCAAAGATAGCCCCTTTCTAGATGAGAAGGTTTATAAACAAGATGCTGTTTTTGATTTGTTTGCAAATATATAAATTAAAGATAATGTAAATATATTCAAGTATGTATATATGCAAATATATGTGTATGTGTGTGTGTGTGTGTGTGTATAGTATAACCAAATATCTTTAAAAACCAGACTCTTTCTATCTCCCAGTCAGGTACAACTGCTCTCTTCTTCGCTGCCCAACAAGGCCATAATGATGTTGTGAGATTTCTCTTTGAATTTGGGGCATCTACTGAATTTAGAACCAAAGTAAGAGACCTTCTTGATTCCATACCCTGGGAAAAAATGTCTGCGGGCATGACAATGTGTCTTCATCTGTAGTGTGAATTTGTGCTCCTCCTTTTGCAAGATTACTTGCCATCATTCAAGGGTAGTCCTAAGATTTCATTTCAAAACATGACAGTTTTACTCTTGGCTTCTCAATTGGAGAGTTTTATGCAGAATGACACAGATTCTTTCTTGCATTCCTAGCTTTTTACTCTAGGACACTAAATTTTGCTATCAGAATGGACACAGCGGCAGGTGTTCTATGGAGTTCCCTTTTCATGTGTTTTTTTTCCCACTTCGAGGTTAATCCAAGGACTATGTACAGGAATTGTCAGAAGTGGTAAGCTGATCCTAGTGAATCTGAGTTTTTCCAGGAAGGGTGATTTCACAGGCAATTTATTTTCTGATTTGTCCTTGCTGAAATATGTGACGTATGATTACAGTTTGTATAGTTGGGAAAGGAATTGTGTTTTTTCCTTTAAAGATGTTATTGATTCTTCATATTTGTCAGATGAATAAGAAATCTGAGTCTGCACCAGCATAAGTTTTGTGTTCACAATATGATTTTACACGATAATGTTTTGTAGTAGGAGAATTTGAACTGCTGTAACATTTTTATAAATGTCAACTAATTTCTGGCCTAATCATAACAAAAATTTCTGAAAATTTGCTTTAGTGGGAAGCTTTTAGGTTTTAAATTCATTGTACGTGATATTTCAATATTAAGGGAGTTTGCAGTGGTTTATGGTGTTGTTGCTGTTCTGTTAAAATACTATTAGTAGATCTGAATTTCAAATAGGGTTTCTGTCTTCTGAAAATTACTTGTGGACTGTGTACATGCCACCAAACATGCTGAATATAATATATACAGCAGTTCAAAATATATATGTATATATTTTATGTTAATTATCATTTTACCTTTCATTATAAAAGTGATACAACTAAAAATAGAAAATAAAGTCCTAAAAACTAAACTTTGAACTAAGTCAAAAGGGTCATGTGTGTCCATACGGCTGTTTTAGTCTTCTTGGCTAAAAAGTTAACGCTGGCTTGAAGTCTTTGTACATGAGCCAGTTGTGGTGTCCCAGAAATCCATGGAACATGGGGCCCATGGGGAGCAATTCCATATGTTTCCATTAAGTCAACTGCAGGTGTCCCAGAATTTTCCATGGGAAGAAGAGAGTATGGAAAGGCTTTGAGTTTTCATATGATCCTCTCATCAATACTGACTTTGTTCTCCTTGTTATTAAATCTGATCCCACAAAAATGTGTTTTTAAAGATAAAAGGTATCAGCTCTTCTATGACAGCCATATTTTATCTATTCTCTTACCTCATTGGGCAAAGAACTGGGAAAACTGACAGAACAAAACATAGAAATGTTGGCATTCATTGCTGCTATTAAGCAACTTCTTGATGCCCCACTACCAACCTCAGCCTTCAGTCTCCTTCCTCTACTCTGCATCTTTCAAAATACAGCGCATGCACCCTCTCCCTTTACACCACTCTCCTCCCTTGGTAAAGCCTTAGTCAGCATGCACATACCCCTCACCTCATCTGTCTGTGAACTCGGTCACTCTCATTGCAGTGTTTCCTCAAATGAAGCTCCCCTGCACACCACACTCACCTCACATGACTGGTCAAAAGGCCTATTTCTGTGTCTCAGACCCACTGAATCAGACCCCTGATGGTATGTCTCCAAGGGTAAGCATCTTCAATGAAAACTCTGTGCGTGAACATAGAAACCATACTATCTTTTATTTATGCCTTATATTTATGATTTGTACTTTAGAACCAAATTACATGTTCTTGCATTATTTGTAATTAGCTCAAATGTTCACATACCAGTACATAGATCCAAACAAATAACATGACAATACTAGATGGGAAAAGATAATACCTCAGCTGCAGCACCCAAGAAAAACCATTAAGAGTCACAGTTGACCACAAACTCAGTGAGTCAGTAGTGTGATGTGGTTGGCATAAAAGCTAATTCTAATTTAGCCTGCAGAGATTAAAGTAGGGGAGTGCCCCACTGCATATCAGAGCACATCTACTTTATATTATTCTGTTTGGTTCTAGGGCCCACATTTTAATGAGACCTGGCAAATTGGCACATGTTCAAAGGAAATGCTAAGGAGGATAGTAAGAGGCACATGGAATATGTTGTAGTTATCTGCTCTTTCAGTGGATGCAGATTTTGTTCTGTGCAGGCAAGGGTCCCAGAAGGTTACCCATAAAAGCACAAAACCTCTCTGGGTAGCACCAGCCAGAAACCAGTGTTTTTCAAGAGGGCCTCTGACCAATAGCCATGGGAGACCATTCTGATAATTCCAAGATAGAACATGACTGACACAGACTTTCTGTTCTTTGTTTCCTTTATTGAGAAGCAAGTGGTTGACTCTGCATTTGACACTGGAAATTTCTAAATTAATCATAATAACTGAATCAAGCAACTATAAAGGTCTCTCAAGCAAGTCATCCAAGTTTACAACAAAATAATGTGCTTAAGATGAACTCTGTCATGATTATAAAGAAAAATAGAAGGAAGGAAAGGAAAAGTGAATTTGCTGTTCTCTGTGGGAAGTTCTTATCCAGAGTCCTCCAGATGTGTGAGGCACATCTGCCGGGTAAAGTTTGTGCCTGAGCTGTGTCTAATGTGTTCACCCTGTGCTTGTCCATAGGACGGCGGCACCGCCCTGTTGGCTGCCAGTCAGTACGGGCACATGCGGGTGGTAGAAACCTTGCTGAAGCACGGGGCCAACATCCACGACCAACTTTATGTGAGTGCGCTTCAAAGGACATTAGATGGAGACTTGCACCTTCCCTTATTGTTCATATTCTTGAGATCTAAATTAAAATGGCAGTATTGCCAACTTGAAAAATATTTTAATTAGTAGTAGGATTTTAGTCTGAAACACAAGAGAAAAAGAACTTTCTCTATGTAGATACCAGAGATTTATATTTACCCAACTTTGTCCTACTCTTTCATATCTCTTGTACATATGAGATATTTCATGTACCTCTGCTATTAGGGTCCTCAAATATCATGTGAGATATATATATATATATTTTTCATAACGCAGCTGCCTATGGGCTTGCTGAAGAACAAAGTAAATTTCTGTCGTGGAGTTATTTGCAAGGAAGGGCACCCACAAAAAAGAGAAATCAAATTATTTGGAAGAGAATTAAGATTGGGTGGGTGAAGACCTGTGAGCTCCATGCACACAGTTGACATTTGACAGTCATCCACTGCCAGTGTGGGTCTGTTTGTTGCTAATTGGCAATTAGCACATTACCTAGGGGCTCTTTTAATTGATGTGACTGCAGTTCCATAGGATTTATGGCAAGTGTTATTCCAGTTTTGTAGGAAAAAGTAAAATATGGAGAGATAAACTGACTTGAGAGAGTCACAGGGTAAAGAATGGAAGAATTCCTACTTCCAATTACCCAGGAACCATAGTTTAGGGTATCCTACAACTAGACATTGGCCCTTATGCCTAGGGCACTGTACTTTCATAAATGTGTAATGAGATGTGTAGGTGTGAATTTTTCCATTTGAACACCCTTTCCAGAGTTTATACAGTTAACTCTGATTAATTACAGACCTCTTTGAAGTATATAGCAACTTGCCTTCACCTTTGCACTGCAAAATCTGTTGAAGTAGATTGAATGACCAAACTATTTGATTATAGGCCAAAGGAATGATTCTCAACTCTTAGTCCCTATTAGAATCATTCTTTAAAATACTACTTACAGGGCCTCCCTGGTGGCACAGGGGTTAAAGACACAGTGCTATCAAGCTGTAGCCAGCCACCACAGCATGAGTTCGATCCCTGGCCAGGGGGCTACCCACATTGGTGCAGCACACCTCTCCTGTCTTGCCTGCTGCTCCCCTCAGCAGTGTATTTCAGTCAGTCTGCCTGTTTTCTCCCCACTCTGTGGTGAATCCTTTTATCCCCTGCACCTCTGACCTACACCCCAGTTCTTGTATGCATAAATAAATAAATCTTTTAAAAAAATACAAAACAAGGGAGGTGGGAATTGCTTGGGAACTATAACCAAGATGAAAATGCATATAAAATGAAAAATAATATAAAAATATATAAAATTTTTAAAATAATAAATAAATAAACAAAAAACTAGTAGACACTAAAAAACAAAATACTATTTACTGGGTCTACCACAAACAACTAAGTGGGAGTCTCTGATGGCACAACTGGGCAACTGGTTGTGACATGTGGTTAAGTCTAAGAAACACAGATCTAAAGCCTTGGCTTTTTGTTGAGCTGTGTTGAGAGTGAAGTATACCTGGGAATATACATGAATGAGTGTATGTATGTGTAGCTTGAATAGAAAGAGCCCAAATCTTTGGGAAAGGAAAATGAGCTGTGATTGTCATAGCCTTACCATTAATAGTCACCAGTCCAAACTGACTATGGGTATAGACTGTGTGCTATTAAATAACATTCATCCCAAAGGCTCAGCACGTACATGCAATCTTAAAAATGTAGACTTTCGGGAAAGCCCATTCCCATACAACAGCCCATTCTTTGTTGTAAAGTGACTCAGGAAAATTTATGCACCAAAACTTCCATTTTATGTTAAAACTTTTACCTTTACCCAAAAAGTCCAAATGTAAGTGTTTCCATTTACATTGAAATATAGGGCATCCCAGTGAATGATGTCTGAAAACTTCCAGGAAGAGAAATTTATGATGCATAGTAAAAGTTCCAATGCATGGATATCCATTTTAGACAATTCCTGTGAGTTATCAACTGCTAAGGCATGATAGACTTCCTGTGGCAACAGAGTAAAGAACAGCTGAAAATTTTATCACTGTATCAAACATCTGCTTAGAAGTCTATACTGGCTGATGAATTTTTAATGATTGCCTCAAGGGGAGTCCAGCAGCTCAGCTGCCACCCACTGGAAATCCAGCCCCCTCCACCTGCTCGGACTGGCAGGGAAAGCTGCTTGGTATTTTTGCTTGTGGTTAGTGCTCCTTATGGCAAGGGTGGCAATTAGTTGGGTTAGCTAGGTATTTTCCACTAGGATGTCCTCGGGTTTTCCACTGCAGTTAAAGAATAATGAAGTTGCCTGTATCCTGTAAATGCTGCCTGTGTGCATGAACATCTGGAAAGGACTCATGCTCTCAGCTGCCCCATGTATTTGCTGAAATTGCCTAAAGGCATATCTTCCAAGAAAAAAGTAAGAAAAGCCCAGAAGACATAGATGCCCAACTAAAAAGAAAATTAGAGAACAAGCACTCGCTTGGAGTTTTTATGTAGGATGACTTAACTGTGTTTATGGGTGTGTTGGTGTCTACTGGGCTGGCAGGGAGCCTGTCCAGGGATACTCTTTCTAGTGTAGTTATTCATAGGACATCTTGTGTTTTAAAGTTTGAAGAAACTGCACGTTAGGGGAACAGATAAAGTATGCAAAACAGTTTAAGGGATTTTTTTTGTGTGTGTTTTTACTAACAGACTCACTTGTTTCTAATTAACTTTTAGCTCTTAATTGACAAAAGGGTTGAAATGAAAAATTGCATTAAACATATGCTTTTTAAATCTAATTAAAAGGGGAATGACTGAGAACATGCAACGAAAGCAGAAGGTAGCTAATGAGAAAGAAGTCTACGCAGATGACCAAAATTGATGGGCTCTGAAAAACTTGGGTGTTACTGCCAACTGAATGTATCATAAGCCCTATTCTCAAGATTTTGTAGCATGAACAGTCATTATGTATGTTATAACATATCCTTATAAAACTATTTGAAACTACCTTTCAAGCCTGATTTACCACATTTTTAGAATCAGTCCCAAAGAATAAAACACTTAACTTGAAACTGGGGAATGGAAAATTATATTACATGTACATCTTTTTATCTAATTTCTTTTAAGATAAATGTGGAAGGTGATTTTTTTTAAACTTTCAATTTGATTTCTTTCAGGATGGAGCCACTGCCCTCTTCCTAGCTGCCCAAGGTGGTTACTTGGATGTTATTCGCTTATTACTGTCTTCAGGAGCAAAAGTCAACCAGCCAAGGCAGGTAATGTCCGAGTATGGGGAGCAGGGGCACAGGGGATCTGAGGTCCTGTAGCAGCACCTACAGAAGATAACCTGTGAGCTCTGCACCTTCTTGAAATCCTGTGATGAGAAGTTAATCTTTGATTAGTTTTCTCCTGCTCTCTATGCTTTGGACTCAGCTGAAAGCCTATGAAATCACACTGACATCACCACTTACTATCTTTAAAACCTGGGCGTTTGGTGTCAGAGGTCAAGTACACACTCTGACAACTCCTGTTCAAATAAATTATGGCTGCACTGAAATAAAGAGAGTAGGCTAGCCAGGGTAATGAGTAAATAGAGACTGGTGAGGTCATCTTACCCCGCTTGCCCTGCCCCATACATTGCCTGATCTTTTACCCCACTTCCATCAAGCCAAAGACATTGGCAATCATTAGTAGGTTCTGCAACTTCATCTCTCACAATTATGCTATTGATATTAAAACTTCATTTACTAACATCAAACTAATAAATAGTTTCTTGCTGGCTCTTAAAGGACAACAACTTAAAGTTAATACAGGTCACATACAAATGTAAGGCATTATTCCTTTTTACAAAACATTTCAGATTAAGGTAACATAAAGGTAGTTTTCTAGGGAAAAGTCAAGTTGACGTCTCACAGTAAATGATACCCAGGCAGACTTCCACTGTAAGATGGCTGTCTCTGAAAATGCCTGTGTATTCATGCAATGAATAGGTCAGACCACCTTATGGGTGAACACAGGCTTCTTTGGTCTTTGAAGTCCAAGTGCATAAGGATCCTGAGAAAAGAAAGAGACTTTGGGCAAAGTAGTTTGAGATCAGGAATCCTGAGCTCCAGATCCAACTCTGCCAATAACCAGCTGTGTAGATCTGAACCAGTAAATCAACCTCTCTGGACCTCTTACCCATCTGAAAATTAGGAATCTGGGCAGGATGTTCCTGGAGATCTCTTTAGGCTCCCAAACTTTTGATAAGTGTTTTATTCAACATCCAATCAGTATTTCTTGAGCACTCATGTACTGACACTGCTATGAATATCAGATTCTGTTTTTAGCATTTTAAAGCTATGTAGGGGCAGGATGGACACCGAGCAGGTTTTCTATGATCCCATGCAGACCAGGTAAAGGAGGAGTCAGAGTCAGTGGCTTTTGCAGGTCTTTTATTTAGATTTACCAGGCAGGGGTGCTGGGAGACCGGGAGGTCCTCACTCTAGCTGGGTGTAAGGTCAGGAATGGACACAGGGCAGGTTTTCTAATATACAGCAGACCGGGTAAAGGAGGAGTCAGAGTCCTCAGTGGGTTTTTGCAGGTTTTTTATTGGGGTTCACCAGGCATACGGCAGGCAGAGGTGCTGGGAGGCCTCCCAGCCCCCAGAAAGTTTTCACTCTATCTGGGCTCTCCGGCGTTCTCTACTTCTCTCTGGGCTTCTGCTGCTCTTCCGTTCATTCGGCTTCTTCTGGTGTCCTCATGCCACCGCCCTTAAAAGCACAGTCTTAGCCCAGGTGAATCCCATCTACCTATGCCCACACCCTACTCCAGGTGCCCGCCATCAGGCATGCATTCAGGACCACAAGGATCCATCATCTATCCTGATGGTGGGAGGGCAGAAAAGCCTGACATTTTTTCCTTACCCTACACTGGGCTCTCTGGCGTTCTCTCTGCTTCTCTTCTCTCGGCTTCCATTTGTTCTTGGCTTCTGCTGGCATCACTGTGATGCCGCCCTTATAAACTCAGTCTCTCAGCTCAGGTGTACCCACTTCAGGTGCCCACTTCAGGCATGCATTCAGGACCATAGGGTTCCCGCATCTATCCTAATGGCGGGAGGGCGGAAAAGCCTGATACTTTTACCTTACCCTACAAGCTATCTTTAGGTTTAAATGACCCCAGGCATACCCCTGGGAAAGGAAGTTTTCAGAAAAAAAATATATTTGCATGCCTGTCAGGCTTGATGTTTGGAGATTAGAATTTAATATTTTCCTGCAGGTCCTTCTTATCTTGAAATTGTTCATTGATTCTGAATCCAAGGCTTCAACTTAACAAAATTAATAAAAAGAATTGGCTATTTTTAGATTGCATAATTTTGATTTGGAGACCATTATTGAGGGTACCACTATGAACTTGAAAATAAGAGTTCATCAACTTTATCTCAATATCCTTCTAAAATAATTTCTGGCATTTTGACAAGTCTATTTATAAAATAAATTGTATTATTCATGTACACTAAGATACTGTTTGTGAAAACTAGGTTGATATAGGAACTTATATTTCAAAAAAAAAACTTACATTTCAAATGTTGCATGGATTGTGTCCACTTAAACCTAAACTGAGTTACATGATGACATTAAAGCTAAGCAGTTAAAGAGTAAACCAGCATTGTGTGGTAACTGCAACAGCTGTTTTTCATTCCTCAGGAGTGAGGATAACCTGGTCAGAGTGGGTGACCTAGTCTGGGAATGGAGGACTCCACCCTTTGGTCAAGAAGCAAGTGGCATGCTGAGTGTGTAGTGCTAGTGTTTGGATTGCTGATAGTTCTAAGAGATTGTTATTTAGGCAAAGGGTGTTTCATAAAATGAGAATTGCTTTAGGGGAAAAAAATCAATGGAATTTTTTCTTTCTATGGCATATACTAAGTCCACTGTGCCTTCCAGGCATTCTTCCACTACCTTATTAACCTTTTATTTAGGCCTCGCCAGGTCAGATTAGTCTAAGTTCTATCTTCGCTGAAAGTGTACACTCTGCCTAATTAATTCCATTCCAAGTAAACAAGCAGTGTCATAAATTTGGCAAAAGTGGTACCTGTCTGGGCTGATATTATAAGGATGTTAACAAAGAAAAGACTAATTAAAAGATTCATTGATGATGGCCTGCACCTGGCCATTTTCTATAGGGTATTTGGAAACCAATGTTTTATTCTGTAGTCCCAGCTGACACATTGAATCATTTGAGAAAATTCTGGAATTTACAAAACAAGGGGAAGGACATCTGCCTTGTTTAATTTCTTAATTTTAGATTAGTTGGAGTTATAATTTTTGTGTTGGTATTCTATGGAATCCCGATGTTTGGTGTTACACTATGACAGGATATTGCATTGAAAAATTCAACTGTCTCATGACCTGAGCTGCAGGGAATCTGAGCTGTAATAGGAATCACTTTTCCTTGTAACTCTTATTAACAAACTGATAACCTTGTTAGTACTTTTGTAAAAGGGAACCCTATTCAAAAAGCAAGCCATAGGCAGATTTCATAAAACTCAGTTCTTGATTTGAAACTTGAAAAAAATTTCTAAGTTGTCCTGGATAAAGAATTCAAAAGTCCCAAAGACCATTGAAATCTACAGTCCATATAAAAACTCATTCATTTCTTTCTGTGTATCCTCACCAGAGTTGATAAGCCAAACCCTCTTAATCACTAAATGAGATGTCTATTTAGTTTTCCTATGAACAAAGTGCTTTGATACAGACTTCCCACAACCCGATTCACCCATGTTGTTAGAACAGTGCTTTTATTGAGTATCAAAGTCTGTTTACCCAGAGATAAGGACTCATCTCTATCTAGTTTTCTTAATGTGCTAATCAGTATCCCTTTGAAGCCTGACAGAAAAGCCTTTTCATAAAGTCCTCTCCTAACAGAAGCCTTAGGAATGCAGAGATGCACTGTATGCAGAGATGTCAGAGCCAGATAGTAACAGTTCTCCTAGTTTGCAAAGTTGGAGGGACAAACCCAGTGGTGGGCAGAGGGAGAAAGCAGAGGCAACAGACTGGTGCCATGTCCTGAGGGCTTGGAGACAGGAGCAGACAGGAATGGGGAGGCCCTACTGCTTTCATTGCCTTTGCACATGGCAGCATGCAGAAAAGGTGTGTTTACTCCAGTAGATACCCAGAGCCTGAGGCGGAGCACCGGTGAGGTCTGGAAGACTACAGGACATGGTGACTGACCAGAGACTGGGAACTAGAAAGGGTTCAGTTATAGGCCCAGCTCATGGGCAGGGCGCAAGTTCCACGAAGACCCTAAGAGCCAGCTAGGAAACCAGACCTAGGTCTCTGTGTGGCTTGGTAGTGATGGGGCTGTGTATATCTTAAGGAAATGAAACACAGTCCCCGTTTTGCTTATTATCTGTATGACCTTGAGTAAGTTGCTTGCTCTCCCTAAATCTCAATTTTTCCATCTGCAAAACTAGAATCGTAGCAGCACCTTTGCTATAGGCTTGTGAGAATTAAATAAAATAATCCCTATAAAAAATCGTAATAAAATGGGGCAAACCTAGAGGAAAGGGAATGAGCCTGTCAGTAAGTCCTCACCTGAACGCCTCAGAAGGCAGCACATAACTCAAATGCAGAGACATGGAGAGAACAAAAAGAGTTTATTTGCACAGGGGGTGAGTGAGACAAAGAGAGAAATGGGAGAGAGCTTAGAAAATGTATAGGCCAGCAAGCATTTATGCTACCCCTGATAGCATCTGCTCAGTAGAGCCAGGGTCAGAGCAGGACCTTCAGGCAGGGAGCCAGCCTAGAAAGCCCCAGAGCCACAGGCAGGAGGTCAGCCAGGAGAGTCCCCAGCTGCAGGTGGGAGCTAGCCAAAAAAAGCCCAAACTCAGCCTGCCTGCTCTGTCTTTTAAAGTCCACCAGTAGGTCCGGCCCTACCCCTGAGTCCAAAAACCCACTCAGGAAGTCAGGGAATGGAGCTTCGAGACCCACTACTCTCTTACAGTAATGCAGTTACCCATGTGCATTGTGTGCTTAGTAAATGTTAAGTTTGGCTAATATCATTTCTATTCTATCCGGGCTTCCTTGGAACAAAAACCCATCTGAAATCAAGATTGTTCTCTTTCTCTCATAAACCACGTGGTCCCTGTCATTTCAAAGTCCCTCTGGTGTGTCTTTCTCGCTCCCACTTTTTCTGTTTTCACTCTCTCCACTCTTTTGCTCTTTCCCACTCCTTTTATTTTTTTCCAACAGTTTCCTCTGCTTAATTATATGTGGTTCACAAGTTTAGGAATCAAAGT